ATTCGATTTGTAATCTTAGGTTGTTACAAAAATCAATCTCAAGATTCTCAATTCTCAATTCATTAACTTAGTAATCTTACAATTTTTCTATTTTTTAGCTTGGCTGACATCTTAAATTTATCCTGAAAGATGGGAAGTAGCTTGTGCCTAACTTTTTAAAAGTCACCAACATTAACCTGATTATTTTAGTAAAAATGACAAATATGCAAAATATTTGGTAGCTATTAATCATGTATTTAGTTTTAATTGATTATAATTGAATCAACGCACAGTAGTTTACAAAAATTAATGAACTTAAACTAAAGTAAACATTGATAGACAGTATGTTGGCAGCAAGCCAAGTTGAGAATATTCTGTGCTGACAATTAAATCAAAACATATCATTTTGTCAAGTCATCAGGGGTTTGAATAACTATTGACATGGTTTTAGACGTGGAGCAATAATTTGGAGAAGATTGCAGCAAGTATTGTTAAAAATTGCTCAACGACAAAGGAAGATCTTCTTAATATGTCTAAATTGAGCACCTTTGGTGTTAATGTGGGATCTGTTCCTTACCCTACACCAGTGCGAGAAGGATACCCAGAGGACATTCAGACATCAATTATCGATCAGTGGGGTTCAGAACGCTCCAATTACAGAATGGAAGGTGGATGTCCTTCCGCACCTTGCAATTCTTGGTGGCAGGTAACAATTATTTCAAACATATTACTTACTATTCCTTTTGTGTGATAAATTGATTTGTACAGGCAGCTAAGAGTTAATGAAATTTTCCTATCGGTTTCTAAGTTAAGCGATTTCTAGAAATAAGTGTATTAAATAAATCTATTTTGAGCACTTGGAGTGACTTATTTATAAGATTTAAAATAATGAATACATTGCAGAAAGATTTCAAAATTAAAAGTTCCGTTCTATTCATTCTTCATCTACTGTGGGAAAACGTTTGAAAAAGAAATTGTTTATCTGATTAAATTATTGAATTTTTGGTTTGGTGATTACCTTATTTATATTTACTATAGCTGAGACAGAGACAAACTCTTGAAAATTGAATCACTGAGAATCAGCTAAAAGGTGACATTTTTTATCCACTTGAATGATTTTCGAGGATATTTGACCAATTGTTTAGACATCTTTTTCATTGGCAGACGTGAAAAATCAATTAAAATATGTGGCAATCAAATTTTCTTCCGAAATGAAAAAAAAACACCTAGAAAGTCGAGAAGAAACGCGTTAACATAATTTGATTATAAAATATGTACATAGAAATTTACTTCTAGGTTTTGATTCCTATATTTTTATGCTCACCCAGAAAGATGAGAGGGTTTATTTTCTGGTCTTTCTGGTTAGTATGACCTACGAACTCTTTTATAATGAAATTCCCTTATGTTCAATCTAATAAGTCATTACCCGATTGGAGTCGCATGCACTTAGCATTGATGTCCAACTTTTTAACCTCCTGAGTAAGTTTTTGATATAAAGTAGAGAACAAATACTTGAAGAAGTCGATATTTAAAAATGATTCACTTGGACTGAGCTGTACTAAGACAGTAATGAAATAAATTGGATGTTAAATACTTTATAAAAAGGTAAAAGGGCTGCTATCAAACAAGCACTAAACTGAAAAGTGATTTTGTTTGGAGTAAAACGCGTAACGCATTTATTGGCTAACGTTGAAAATCGATAAACAGTTTAGGCGACAGAAGGTGAGTCATTCTCATATCTATACGAAGAAAGGCATATACTGGATAAAAATCAATAGTCAACTCCTGATAATAGGTAACACAGACTTGAAAGGCAATAATTACAGAAGAATAATGTAATATACGGACCCTTAGAAAGATTTCCAAATTTAAACCGCAAATCATTTTTAAGCTCAGGAACTAAAATTATCAAGACCATCTAATTCATATTATTTCCTAGCTCCATAGAGGAACTAATTTTCTCTATGTCCAACTAAGTGTTTCAACACTGATTTTCATTATTCTGAAGTATATCATTTCCAAAAGTTGAGCAATTTTTATACCTTACATTATTTACTTATAGTAAACCAAAAATGTTGCCATAACTTTTGTTATAAGATAATTGGGCTAATGATAAATATCATAAGGCCTGCCATTTGACATATTTGAAATCGGAAACAGGAAAGCCTAAAAGAAATTAGATCAGACGGAAGTAGAAATTTATTTATTTCAAATGGCAGGCTTTATGATATTTATCATTAGCCCTTAATCTTTGACTTCAGCTTCCCCCAAGAGATGGGGGGTACATTTCAAAATGGCAAGGCTTTATGATATTTATCATTAGCCCTTAATCTTTGACTTCCCTTTATGGTATTTATCATTAGCCCTTAATCTTTGACTTCAGCTTCGTTATGATATTTATCATTAGCCCTTAATCTTTGACTTCAGCTTAGAAGAGATATCATTCGCAATTTAACTTTGACTTCAGCTTCCCCCAAGGAAGGGTGGGTACATTTATAGCAGTTAATCAATAGCGGAAGGGTACATTTATAGACTTAATCTTTGACTTCAGCTTCCCCAAGAGGGGGGGGGGGTACATTTATAGCGGTTATTAACAGCAATTCATTAGCTGTCTTCTTGCTTCCCAGTATCTCTGGTTTTCCGAATTTTGACTTCAGCTTCCCCCAAGGGTGGGGGGTACATTTATAGCCTTAATCTTTGACTTCAGCTTCCCCAAGAGGGGGGGGGGGTACATTTATAGCGGTTATTAACACAGCCCATGGGTGGGGGGTACATATATAGCAGTTAATTAATAGCAGACATTAGCAGTCTTCTTGCTTCCCAGTATCTTTGGCTTTCCTGTAGCAGCGGTACATTTATAGCAGTTAATTAATAGCAGTTCATTAGCCCGGACATTTATAGCAGTTAATTAATAGCAGACATATATAGCAGTTAATTAATAGCAATTCATTAGCTGTCTTTTTGCTTCCCAGTATCTCTGGCTTTCCGTCGTTAGGGCTGGACATCGAATCAGGTGGGTCTTCTCCATTTCAGCTGGACATCGAATCAGGTGGGTCTTCTCCATTTCCTCCTCTGGTGAACACCGAATCAGGTGGGTCTTCTCCATTTCCTCCTGTATATATCTCTGGCTTTCCGTCCTTGTCTTTAGAGCTGGACACCGAATCAGGTGTCTCCATTTCCTCAGCTAGACACCGAATCAGGTGGGTCTTCTCCATTTCCTCCTTTGAACACCGAATCAGGTGGGTCTTCTCCATTTCCTCCTGTATATATCTTTGGCTTTCCGTCCTTGTCTTTAGAGCTGGACACCAAATCAGGTGGGTCTTCTCCATTTCCTCCTGTAGGTTACATTAATCAGATCTTCTCCATTTCCTCATGTAGGTTACATAGGGGGCATGTTGGTTGAGTGTATACCCTTGGCTTTCCGTCGTTGTCTTTAGGACTGGACACCGAATCAGGTGCCCTATCGTTGTCTTTAGGGCTGGACACCGAATCAGGGGGGGGTATGTGGGTTGAGTGTATACTCCCAATCTGTGAAGGTGTTTTGCCAAGCAATCGTGTCCGGTACGTAGTCTAAACTCAGCAACGGCTTCGATTCTTGGCCAACGGAAGTAGAAATAAAAGTTTGGATATCATATGTAACTTTTAACATTTGAATTTGGCTTACACATATGTTACAATGCTAAATTTTGTGGCATTCTTATGCTTAAAATGCAGCCTTTGCTACATATTTCTTGAATAAAATTATGTCTACAGTACTTCATAGTGACAAACTAACGACAATTTAAATAGTCGGAAATCTATATTAATAATTTACAATTAACTTAAGCTTCTAATTATCGCTCAGTCTGCCTTGATTTTATATCTGATCATTTATTTTTATATCAAATGGCAGACGTTTTGATAGTTATCATTAGCCCTTTAGATGACTTCAGGCTACACAGAGAGGAATGAACTTCAAAAAGAAAAAAAATCGAGAAGGAGGGGGGGGGAGGAGGAGCAGAAGAGTGTTTCAAAGATGTAAAAGAGACAGACGCAAAGGTAGAAAAAAAGGTGAGGTGAGTACTGGGGAAGTGGTTGAATATGACATATAATGGGGTCATGGTAGTTTGAAGTCCGAAGTCAACTGCCGGTCAATAGACTTTTGCGATATGAGTACACGTTGCCCAGGCTGCACCATGTGGAGGTAAGTCTACCTCACACAACCCATATCTGATCATAAATGTCCATTGATGGACGTTTTGCGCCCTTGGAATTAAACTTTATCATTACATCTATAGCTCCGTTCCCCGATAACCGATTTTATGACTCCACTATGTTTCAGGCGTTTCGACACACACACACACAGGCACATTTACTTCTTCTCTAAAAATTCTCTGCAACCATTAAGTAAACCTGCTTACTAAATTCAGCTCTTCTTCCCTGTTCCTTTTCCAACAATCTGCTAGTGAAGCACTGAATGGCTGTCAGCGTTTTTCATAGATAAAGCAAAAATTGGCGAGATTGATTTTTTTATAAAGCAACCTCTAAATAGAGACCGGATGACTAATATAACCCGAGCTACACACAGGGGCATGTCATTTAACAGGCACCAGCGTTGCCATGCTTGCATGAAAGGCAGGCCAGTAGCCTGGAGATTTTGTTAGGGTAGCGTACGTTAAGGTAGCGTTTGTTTCTATCTCCGTAACAAAAAAATGATGAAGGTACTGCGAGAAATTATTGATGGACTGTGATAAAACAAAGATGGCTCTGCTACCTCCTACAAATCCGAATGGACACATGATTCGAATATGTTCTTTTTCTTTTTCTTTATTATGGCAACGGAGGTAATTACAAATCTTATCATGGGGAAGGATTTTTCGTCCCCTTTCGCCCTCACACCCAATTAAATATTTAATTATTTTTGATTATTGTTGACAATACTATGAGATGTTTCTCTACGAAAAATTTTCAAACAAATGGCTGGAGGGAATTTCCAAGAAATAAAATGAAAAAAAGACATTTGACTCGATTGACTTTGGTATTACTTCACTGCATCCAATTCGAACGTTTGCAGAGTTTAAATTCAACAATTTTTCCCCTTGAAAAATTGCCATGATCACGTCCAACATTTGCTCAACTTATTGCCAGACTGATTAAGCAAGTAAGAAAGTAATCTCCATGAGTTAATTTGACAAAATTGCTAAATCTTGCCAATGAGAAAACACCGCTTTTGCTGGAAGGAAGTAGTTTGGTAGAGGGATAGTGTGCATTGTTGCTTTTCAAAAAATATCATGCGAAAAGACTAGCATAAAAGCTGAATGTCAACGCTTTTCAAACGTGCGGCCTATAAATCGTTACTCGGGTTCTTGTTAAATCGGCGCCTTAGAAATTGGAGTCTCGTCGACAGGGTAAGATCACTGCCTTCATACTAGCCTCCATTTGCATACAATTGGCAGCTTTCTATTGTGCCTCTTTAACTTGAAGTCCATTAAGGGGAGGGAAATTTACATTATTTATTACAGATTCTATCTTAATACGACTTTTCTTTGCCCTTCTTACCACAGATGGTATGGTCAAAGGTGTCTCTCATTGGTTGCTCTTTGAAAAACTGTGGAAACATTACAAAAATGGTCTGTGTCTACAACTCAAGGTAAGCAAGTTTATTCAATTTGTAAATTTTTAACAAACCAATTAACCAGTCGACTATAATTTGTTTTTTTTTCAATTTTTTGCTGCCTCTGCTAGTGAAATTTTGCAGCCTATGCTGTATGTATAGCGAGCTTCTTTATTTGAAGGTCAATTTCAACGTTTATGTCAGGCTTGCAAAGCTACTCAAGATTTAAATAAAAATCATCTAATATCTTGTAGGAGTAATTTGTTGGTTTACCTGAATTTAACTTTTAGGAAACGGAACTGTTCACCACTTAGAGTATAAAGGCACTTTTCAATAATAATGTTTTGTTATAAATTCCGTTATTGCTTTCCTTGAAGCAAGTGACTATTTACAAATTGAAAATGCTTCGAAATCTATTTGAAGTAACTGACGGCATAGCACAGATTAAATCATCAAAATTTCTCCCTTCTAACATTCCGAAATTTCATAAAGAAAAACATTAACAAGTCTCTGATTCGCTTTGTTTTGTGCCGGTGGCCCATTGTTCAAGGTGCACCTTAGAGGTCACGAGATTAGGGGACATCGATGGAAATCCATTGGATTTTGTGACAAAAAATCCTGGTTAGCTCTGCTCACCAAGGGAGGTGAAAGATTTATATTAAATGGCAGGCACTTTGATAGTTATCATTAGCCCTTTAGTTGAATTCGGACTTCACAGAGGGGAAGGAACATCAAAGTGAAAAAAGTTGAGAGTGGAGGGAAACAGAAGAGTGATTCACAGATGTAAAAGAGATAGATAGGCACAAAGGCAGAGAAAAGGTAAGATGAGTACTGTAAAAGGGGTCGAATATGACATACAGTGGGGTGATGGTAGTTTAAACAGACACAAAGGTAGAACAAAGGTGAGGTGAGTACTGTGTTACACGAAGGTAGAGAAAAAGGTAAGATGAGTACTGTGGAGGCTTAGAAAAGGTAGGAAAAAGGTGAGGTGAGTACTGTGGAAGATACAAATGTAGAAAAAAGGTGAGGTGAGTACTATGGAAGTATACAGACTCAGAGGCAGAGAAAAGGTAAGATGAGTACTGTAAAAGGGGTCGAATATGACATACAGTGGGGTGATGGTAGTTTGAAGTCATAAGTTAACTGTCGAATTATAGACTTTTTTTGGTGTATGAGTAAACGTTGCCCAGGGTGCACCACGTGGAGGTAAGTCTATCGCACACCCCAGGGAGGCGAAAGACTGATTATCATTGTCTCCTTATCTTTAAAGCTAGTAGATTAAAAATAGAAAATGGATTATAACTAATGGAAAGCTCACGTGAGAATAAGAGTGCAAAGTTTTGCCTTTTAGAGCCGATCCAGATACGGATCATCCCTTTAAAACTGGTAGCAGTTGTTCTGCCTGTCCTGAAGGATTCAGGCGGTGTGAAAGCGGAATGTGTGCACCTGAAAGTCAACACCCAGTGGAACCGGAATTTCAGCTTGACGTCTTCGAAAACGAAGCAAACAATGATGAAAATGAAGGGCCTAAAGAAGCGGCGCAGAACATGGACAAGAATAGTGTTAATAATCCTTATGCACCAGCAAGCGGTCCTGATGGACAAATTTTGGACAACAGTAACACGGACGGTGCAAGTAAACTACGTGTTCTCTTTTCC